TTTACATGTTCTTAAATTGGGAGTAGTTGTTCTGACCTTTTTTTACAAAGTTTGTGTGTAACATGCATGGTTAATTGGTAAAATAGTATTTATAATTCTTAAAATGACTGGTTGTTTTTCAGCACAGAGTTTTCTAATTATTTTTTTAGTGAGAAAGTTGTTTTTTCCAACGCCACTTGAACGATGCTTGGGTCTTGCCGGACGGGAAGTGGCTTGACCAAAACAGAATAAAAATAATCACGCATTCTCACCGCCGCACTGGGAAACATATACTGTATATTATCTGTTCTGTTTGTTATGATATCGGACCAATAAGTATAACGTCATAATTCCCTGATATCGGGCCGATAACTATCGTGCACCCCTAGTTTCTAAACTTTCCTTCAGGTAACAACAGGCTTTTAGCTAGGATTTTGGAGCAGGGGGTCGACACTTTGACAACATTTTAAAAAGTCTGACCTGCCCAGTCCAATTTTGGCTGATAACAATTTTTTTGAATAACTGACAGTATCAAGTGTTATAAGGTCACAGTACACATTCAATGTTCCAATCTTATTTTATTGAAAAACAGTGAACAATACCATCAAAACAATACAAACTTGTTTTAACTAGACAGCTAAAGGGGACAGTGGCTGATTTAAAAACATTTGTGTAGGTAGATGAGTGCCAATCTTTTCCATCAATCTTATCCAAGTATCAACCAATCTCCCAAAATTAAAGAAATCGGTACCGATGAATCGGCCGGACGAGTTATTGGTACACCCCAAGCTCAGAGTCAATCATACTRTACAACACTTAGAAAAAACTCTGAGAAAAAAAAAAACTGAACTTTAATCTTAGACTTCTGGTGCTTGTAATTATGTTAAACATTATAGCTTGTAACATAATAAAAACAGTCAGAACAAGATGGTTTGTTTGGAAGAGCTGCCAGGAAAAAGTCTGACCTATTATGCAAATTTCACTTTTTAAAGTTTTTTTTTACTCAACTTTGGGTATGTACTTCTTAAAAAACAGTCTTAGGACCAAAAAAATCCACCCAGGGGCATATTTACTGTAAGTAAATGTATTTTTAATGTATATTAATGACAAGTTTTATACTTCCTGCATTTTGTGATGTCACAAGCTGTACGACAACCCACCACATCCTGCGTTCAGCCCCTTACTTAGCAACCCCCGGGTGAGACTCCACGTCCTCAGTACAAAGAGCCGTCACAGTTGTTGTTGTGCAATGTGCAGCTCATTTCACAACAAGCCTCCAATAGGGCAATGGGTAGAGTGTTGGACCAGAGAGTGGGAGACCAGGGTTCGAGACAGACACAAACTATTATTTATTTTCGTTTGTTATGAACACTTTTTCTCATGTACCTCTATTGTTTAGCTTTTAGCTTTTTTATCGTTTAGCCTATATGTTCGAGATTCTGAGGTATTTTGACCGCTGCTGCTCCAGTTACCGTACCTGCCCTGGTAACAGCATGCAGAGTGAGCGCAGAGCTCTGACAGGAGGGGGAGAAAAAAAAGCTGCGACCACGACTCTGCCTCTGGGTCTGACTCAGGGTCTCATATATACGGTTGTACAACGGAGCTTCTGCTATTATTAGCCATGCTAACGTAAACGCTGGCTTTGGAGGGCGGAGTTAATGTCAACAGATTTTTGGAGGGCGTTACCAACAGAGCTCATTAACGTAAACAGCTCTTCTGAACGGAAGTCAGAGCAGGCAGAACTAGAAAATGGGAAATTTTATTATCTGAGAATTATTTTGTGCATTAAATTGAATGAACATGGTCTGGATAGCCCACAGACATACCATAAAAATTTCTAGGACCCGTAATTGGTCTCCTTTAAAAGAACATGGCAGAACAGCTTTGAGTTTAAGGGTTGCCTAAAACATCCCACAATACTTTTGAAGCCAAGATATTTGGAGAGTTGACATTAATGTGGAAATTTTTGGACATAATGCCACATTTGGTCAAAAGTAAAATCAGCACATCAAGTGTCAAACAATGTAATGGAGAGCTAATTATTTAAACTTGATTTGAAACCTGGGAAACATGATGTCCACCTCTGAAAAACAAAACTATTCTATAGTCAAACGTCAGGCCATCTGTCCAACGGTTGTAGTTTGACGTTCAACTTACAACAGAATGATCTCAAAGACAGAGGCAAATTGACAACAAAATGGTTGACCACAAAAAAAGAAGAATCAAAATGCAGCAACAATTCAAAGTCAAAATTCAGATCTCAACCCAGCAAAGTTGTTAAATCTTAAAGCTGTTTTCACGCATCAACATGTGAGACGTCCAAGAAAGTCTGTGATCAAATTGGTCTAGTCTTATTCCCTCAGTTGCTGTTCCCACACGTACCACACAGCAGGTTATTGTTCTGCTGGAGATGAACTCTCGCAGCTTGAAATGCAAGGCAGGAGGTGTGGAGGAGGAACTGACGASTGCACATGAAGTCAGGGCTCCATGCAGAAAGAGCAATGTGAAAATGGCTACTCCCCCCCTCCCCACCCAACGATTTGAGAACAGAAGATGAAGCTCTGCACTGTGTTGATATTAATAACATAGTTGCTATTGCGTGAGGGGAAAGCAACATTCAGGTCAGTAGAAAGAAAAAACGAAGTGGAAACTATTACCAACACACAAATTTGCAGTTAAAAGGCAGAAAAAAATATGTTCATACACTGTTTCGGTCACCGATCTAGCAACTGTTTCACCAAACCTTTATATACCATTTTCTGAAACAGGACACATCACAATGGATTTCAAACATTCAACAAACTGAAGCTACATTCTGAATAAGCTGAGACACATTTTTTCCTACAGTTTATATA